TTTGTTATGTCCCTCACCGTTGCAGAACCCACATCGCCTAATTTTCTTCTCGACCTTGTTCTTTGTTACTTCTTTTCGCTTGCGTTGTTTTCGTTGAGGGTCGCGAACGTTGTTTAATACACTGCTCCGATTGACTGGATCATTCAAACCAAACGAGTTCTCAAATTCTTCTGTTAATCTTTTCATCTCATCTCTTGCGGTTTTGAAAGACGCGTCTGTCTTTGATGCAACATAGCATAACATACTTGCTGTTGCACGTAGAGAAGCAAACTTTGTCATTTGCATTATTTCTGGAGGCACATCCAAATCAACAAAACTGGGTGCAGAAGCCTTCACATCCTTAGTCCACCTACTTTGAATCAAAGACCTGGGCAAATATGTGTAATCCAAGTGCTTCAAAACGTGAAGTTGATGGCGACATGGAAGTCCAACTCTCTTGAATTTTTTGTATGAGCAATTTAGGGTTTCCATACGAGAATCAAAACTAATTTCAAATATCCTATTTTTTTCTTTGTACTTTTTCAAATAAAAATATTGACATTCATCTGATAAGGACTGAATCTCTTCTTGAATCCGGTATAATGTCTTCCGTTGAAGTTCTTCTTGGAGCGCACGAAAAGATTCGCGCGTATAAATCTCAGAAGCATGACTTTCAAATTCAACCAGTTTTGTGATCAGGAAGGGCTTTGTTTGGGAACTTAAGTAATCCGCTTTTAACTCGTTCAGACGCATTCTACTAATTTCATCTTCAATTGCACGAACAACATCTAAATATGTCTTCTTGTGTTTCAGTGCAATTGCGAGTGAAACATTCATAGACTCGCAACTTTGTGTTGAGCAAATATTAACAAAGAAATGACCGGTTAGATATGCTTGTGCCCATAAGTGCATAGTATTTCCCTTCTCAATCACCCATGGATACTTTTCGACGTTGAACTCTGAAACAATTGAACGCCATTGAATATCAAATTCATCGGTTGTCTACCAGGAAACCATGCATTTTGAGAATGCTGCTGTAAATTTTGGGTCACCAATGTTAGCTTGTGCATTACGAGAAAGATGCCAATAACATAATTTGTGCTTAGCATTAGGGATAACATATTTGATAGCCCTCTGCTTTGCCCTATCCCCATCGGTGACAACTGAAATAGGCAATTTGTTCATCATGGCTTATAAAACATTCTGTAGCACCCACTCGAAATATTGGGATGTCTCGTCAGCGATTATGGAAGTAGAAAACACAATTGTGTTATGGTGATGATTGACACCGACAATAGGCATAATTGGCCGACCATACAAATTATATTTGTACGTCGTGCCGAACGTAATTACATCACCAAAGCATATGTAATCTGATCTCGATATAGAATCCGACCAAATAATATTATGCAACACCCCTGATTCGTCTACCGAGTATGTCACAAAAAACCCGGGATCATCATGTTTCTTATAATCAAAGTAAACAATAAGCGCATTCACATCCCCATCGACGATTTCCTTTGCTTTGCCTCTTTGAAGTGCATTGTAGAGGTCTTTATGTGTAAATCCAACATTATGATAGCCCCCTGCCTGCTGCGTTAAATAGTTCATTACTTGTGACGTGCCAACACCGACATCTTTCAATGATGTTGCCTCATCGATATCAACCTTACTTGTAGCTCTATTAGAACGCATAAATGGTGTCATAGCAGGTGTGCACAATGCATGATTATGTTTCTGATAAGACTTACTTATAACCCACTGATCGTTTGTATTCGTTGCTGTAACTACGATTCTAGCCTTGCATCTTGTTCTTGTGATTGGCGTATGAGCACGTTGACGATCAACGTTACTGACTTTTGATCATTGAAACCCTTCTTTAGAACAACAAAATTCTTGTATCTTCACATTCCCTTCTATGTCAAGCCGTGTTGTTCCCCGACGTGCACTAAACCCATTTTCCCGTACGAATTCCTTGTAAAAGTACCAAGCTTGATCACGTGAAGAGAAGAGCTTACCAACCAATATGTCAGATTCATCAACATTATGTACTTTATGGCATTCCTCGGTTGGCTTAACATTATCTGTATCAGTATGATCCATGACAAAAATTTTGTTGTGCAATTTCAGTGGTCCCAACAGGAGTTGATGGAGGTGCATGTAAGTAAAGGTTCATTGAACAACATGTTTCAGTGGTGCTTTCAATAGGATGTGGTATTGGTAGCAGTGGTAGTTGAAAGGTGGGTACAACTTTAAATTTGCAGGACATATTCAGGTATGTACAATAACTACAGAATTCAATAACTTTAAAGTAATAGGTACAATTACAATGTATGTGGTAAAATTAGACTATTTTAATGACAAATAATTATAATGTAATAGGTAAATTGACAATGTAATCAGTATACATATACCGTTTAATTATAAAACATATTAACATAAAGTATCGACACTGTTAGATTTTGTGTCGATACATTTATAACAATTATCGATCCCAAAATCAAAGAGACCGATAATTATAATGTAATAGGTAAATTTCCAATGTAACCGATATAAATATACTGGGTTCATGAGAGAATAGGTCAACATAAAGTATCGACACTTTTTTAATTTGTGTCGATACATTATGTATCGACACTCTTTAAATATGTGTCGATATTTTTCCCAAAATAAAGCACAAACGAATTGCACATATAAAGTGTCGATGCATTTAAAATTGTATCGATCCCGAAAATATCGAAACCGATATTTATAATGTAATAGGTCAATTTATAATGTAATCGGTTTAAATTTACCGGTTTTATGAGAAAATAGGTCAATATAAGCGCTACCTATTACATTATATAAACGCTACCTAATTTGTTATTGTACTTAATAATATTTCTGGTTAAATGCCTATTTTATTATATAAGCACTACCTATTACATTATATAAGCGCTACCTAATATGTTATTGTGCTTGATAATTTTTTTGGTTAAATGATATAACATAATCGATCTAAATTTTAATTAATCACTTATTTAACCGATCACTCTATTTTTTAGCCCTTTTTTTTTTTCAGACGACGCACAGTAGAATTTTTCCCTGCTCTCTCTTAAATGACACACAGAAACTTCGTAGAAAAAGAATTTTGAGAAGGGGTCATTATCAAATCCATAACAACCGAGTGATGGCTGACGTAGTGCTATTAGTAGATAAGTTGTTGACTTGAAAGCTGGATATATCATACAGCTTGCATTCATTCCCTGCAAATGGATGTAAATTGAGTGCATGTTTACGACATTTATTCAAATCCGGATAACAATGAAATGCCAGTTTTTTCTATTTTAATAATTTTGCTTACCGGGATATGGTGGATTTTCAGTTCTGATCTACACTCATTCTGACGTGCTAACAGGCCCAAAACTATACAATAGAAACTCGAAATGAGCCTATTCCTAAGCCTCACGCATCAGTTCATACTTCTATTTGTGGATTGGATTATCGATGGAATGATTAATCTAACAAAAGGTAAAAACATCTCTTAGGCTTATGCAAATACGTAATTTTAACTCATATCATGGACTTTTTTTAATGAAATTTGTATAATTTATTAAACTTTTGATATAATCTTCTTATTTCTGTCATTTTGGATCTTGAATAATATTATTGTGAGAGAAATTATTCAAAAAAACTTGTCACGTAAATAAAAACACACCTTACAAAACTTGACTTTTGATATACACTACCAATTTGATACACCTTTTATTAAAAAATATAAACTTATCGAATAATATTATTTAAATATAAAAAATACCATTTGAATATATAACTCGATACTTTTGAAATTTGATATTTTTAATTTGGTCTTTTAGTTTTTGTCTATATTAATAATTTTAAATATAATATATTTTTAAATTATTTTGACACAATAACATCATAACATATCTGAATATCATATCATTAACAGAACAAAATTCTGAATTTAAGAATCATTATGACCGAAAATATTTAAAGATTAAATTAATAAAAAAAATCAAATCTAGAAGTTAAATGTGATTATATACTAAGTTAAAATGTGTAATTTTATCATTTAATAATGATCAAGGGAAATTAATTTTTATGTTGTTTTTTATTTTAAAAAATCTTCTACAAAATTTTAGTATAATTGCACGAACCAACTTACTTCAGTGGTTAAAGTAATCGTTGTTGTTCTTAGAGGTCATGTGTTTAAGCATCAGCACATGCAAGGATGATTGAACGTTAATGATTAAAAGTATTTAGAACATTATACTATTTTATAATCTCACCTTTAGCTTAATAATTTTTTCCTAGTATAATTAGAAGTTTCTTAACAAACATCTACGTTTAATTATTTAAAATTATTATAATTAATTTGATATATTAAATTTTTATAGATAATTATATAAGTAAATTGGATATATATTTTACAACTATTATAAATTTCGTAAAAAACGAACAGGTTCATTATGTTGACAATAAATTGCAGGAAAAGATAAGTCTTTACTTACAACAATCATGAAGATAGCTTCGAATGCACTAATCTATACTCTATAAGAGGAGAGAAACAAAATATTGTTCCAAGGTCGTTCAAGAAATATTGAAGAAATGCTTCATACTATTAAGGAAATAAGGGGTATGAATATAAATATACTAGATAGTGTTAATATTACTCTTTGTAATCATTGAGGTATAGTTTGATCGTTGTTTGATTTTGTAAGTAGGATGATCAAATGTAATTAGAATTGTTTTTATAACATATATTTGCTTCTTTGGATAATAAAATCGAATTATCCAAAAAAATGTAAAATATTATTAAATTATATTACAAGTTAAATAAGAAGAAAATATAAATGATGAGAAATATAAATATTTTATTAAATTTTATGAATTATTTTTTTAAAATTTAAATTTAAATGCATTATTTTTTTTATATATTTTTTAAGAAATAAATTTCACTTTTTTTAAAAAATATATATATATATATTTCCGGCGCATAAACCCAGATGGATCTTCTTCCCTGTCATTTTGTATCCAAACCAAGGAAGCTGCTTCTCTACTCAAAGCCTGGTTGCTGTTTGTGCGATGGCCTCAAAGGAAAAATCCCGCCCCCTTTTCACTTCCTGGTTCAGATTCCCTCGTCGAGTTACGGGTACAATCCCAATCACATCTCATCCAAAATATATAAAGATTGGAACTTGTAATTTTTTTTGATTGTTGAGTAGTTTCTATAGGCGAGGGACATTACCAGCGATCCCGAGTGGGAGAAGGCATACCAATATGAGATACCCGTTTTAGCCAAAGTATTCTCCCATGGTACTGAGGCGAGGTTTTTCTTCTTTCCTTCAAAGCTATATCAGTGTCAGGATTTATTATGGGTTCCCTTTTAATGAGTGTACGACATCTCAGATAAAGAATTCAACATGGATAATTTCACACAAGAATTTCTGCTAAGTTTCTCTTGTTATGAATTGTTGTATAGCAACTCCCTTTGAAAGGTAAGCTGAAAAATAGTGGGACTAGAGAGATGGTTGAGCATCCCTTCTTTTTTAAAAATGGATCTGGTTCTATAATTACCAAGGGATTTCTGATTTCTCTCTAAAATATGTGAACTGAAGGTTGAGTGAATGGGACATGTAATTGACCAGGAAAAAATGTAGGATTTCTACTGGAATTTTAGGCATTGGGTGTTAGTAAAAGATCCATTGAAATTGGAATTTTTGTTGGTCATGTCATTTCAAGGTAATCTGATCTTTCATCAATAAAGTATGAACATGAATTGGGATTGGGCTTTGTTTAGTAAGTGGAATGTATAAGTTTTACATACTGGGGTTGAAATGAGCAATCAGTTATTGGAAAACTGTTTTTAAGGCCCGCCTGACATTGTATAAATTGTAAGTGGAGTTTCTAGAACTAAGTAAATAAGGTTTATTTTCTCTGGTAATCTTTGGTTCATGTTTGAAGTCAATTTATACTGTTTGCCATTATTCGGGGCCTTAGTCTGACATGTAAGGGATGCCTTTTTAGGATTTTTTTATTTAATGCTTGAAGAAATAACATCATATAACGACCCAGTCGGTTAAAACTTGCTGGTAATCCCCAAATACCATTCTTAGAAGTATTTAAACTAATGCGAATCCTACATTCTTCGTAGATAATCAGAATAACATCAACATAGAATGTCTGGATATGAGGGAATGTTTTATATTGACACAAATAGAATTTGGTTGGGTTGACTGTAGTGATAAATTTTAAACAAGTTTTGTTCTTTCCCTAACTCCTCATAACAATGGATGACACATATTCATAGCGATGCAAATTCCCGTTTGCATTGACAATAGAATCACGACTTCCGATCATGATTGAATTGCAGATTACCTTTTGCATCACAACTTTTCAATACTTATTATCTTTTTCATCATATATCTGGCCCTCTTCGTGGCTATGATTCAGTCAAAAGTTTCTGATTGTGTTGTTACCTTTGAGTAGCTGGTGAGATCTTGTCGACCATTAAATCATAATGCCTCCTTGTCAAAATAAATTAGGATATAAATGCAGTATAACAGTCAGAGTTCTTGGAATTTATGTCAGAGACAGGCACGTTGAGATAAGTCAACAATATCTGAAGATGCCTTGAGCAGTAAAATATACAAAATTACTGCAGACAGAATACATTTTTTTTTTATAAAATTAAGGTATAATATCTGTTATCCAGGCTTAGTTGAGTGTCGGATATTAGCATGTATTCGATACTTATTTTCACTAAAAATTTTCAATATAATTGGAGGATCATGCCCTTATTCTGATGTCCTAGTATGTTCAAACACTGTCACTAAGGGCTGGGTACTAGTACTTTAGGACAAATGAAGAATCCAAGCAAAATAAGGTATATAATAAGGATATTAGACCACATCATCCTTCTCTAACTATCCTTTCACTAGTTTTTATAAATATGGGATAAAAATATTTGCTATTTATATGGATCAATGCTGAAGACATCTCACAAGCAATACCGATCTTTCTTTCAGGAATTACTGCCCGGATTATCTCCTCAACTTGGGGTGGAGCTTGTACATACGAAGATAGAAGCTGCTTTTAAACAATAAGAGGTCTGTAACCTTTTGTTCTCTGATAGTGTTGATACTGAAGTTCATGTTAAGCTAGAAGGAGAAACGAAATTTGATATACATCATGTCATTTTAGTATGTTTGACTAGGTCATTTCTAGTTGGCATCACCAACACAGTGACTTCGCTCCAATAATTCCTTTCCTTATCTTTTATGTATTACTAATTTCATGCAAACATAAACTGGCCACTTTAAGGTCTTGACAGTGATAAGATGAATAATTGCATCTATCTTGGCTCTTTAATGTCATATTCATGTTGCACTCAATAGCTATTAAAACTCCTGCCTTTCTCTTGTGAATGATCGGGTTTGTCCTCATTTCATCTTTTCCATTAATGTATGCTAATATCTTGGTGTAGTGTGTACCAGTAAGGGAAATTCCAGGCATCAAAGGGAAAGGGAAATGGGGGGAAAAAAAGAAAAAGAAACTGTACAAGAGATAAAGAGTTCAAGCCATCCGCACATTTGGCTTGTCATTGAATGACTGCTACTGTCATTATATCTAACTTTAATGTAAAATTCTGTGAGACTTGAGGTTCGGTATCGATCGACTCTTCACAGTTGGCATAACCTAAGATAAAACTGGATTATCACGACTTATCATCTTTTACGACAACTGATTTTGATCGACTCTTGAGGTTCGGCATGGGGCCTTGCAAGTATTCTCTTGTCATATTCTCTCCCATTACCGGAGGAAAGCAGCGTATTCATGGACACCTACCCGAAAATAACATCATACTTTTAGCATATAAAGTTTCCCCCCTTTTGACTCCTTTGAGTTCTGATAAACAATTTGCTTTTCGTATCTTTCATGTGTTATTAATCCCATGCAAACAAAAGCAGGCCACTTTAAGGTTTTGGAAGAGAGAGAATGAAAATTTGCTTCAATTATGCTTCTTTAATGTCTTATCCATTCAAATTTTCACTACTTTGGACTAAATCCATTGTATTCAACCTCCTGCTTTTCTCTGTTGCATCACCAACTTTGTCCTCGTTTCATCCTTACCACTTATGGATGTTAACAGTATCTTCTACTGGGCACCAATAAGGTAAATATGCATTTGAAGGGCTGCTACTGTCATTGTAACCAACCTTCTTTGGTTAGTCGATGAAGGGATAACCTTTTTAACCAGTGACAACATGCATAAACTTTGTAGACACAACTATTCAAACTCGGAATCTCTAGAGAAAATAACACTCCTTTCTATCACTGAGGTATCACATTAACTAATTAAGCATAATCTTGAATTTACGAACAAACAGATTTTGATAGGCACTTGAGGTCTTGTATGACGCCATGCGCGCGCGACGCATCCTCTTGCCATCTTTTCCCATTACCAGAGGGGAAGCAGCAGCATCATGATGGACAAAAGTCCCTGTTTTTATACCACCTTTTATAAGCAATTGTTCAAGTCCATGGCTCATCCCATCTTACAATTATTTGCTCTAAATTATTCGTTTGATTTAATTACAAGATAAATTTCCATGAAAACAAATTATTTAGCCATCATAGGTGAATACCATTTCTCCATAAAAACTAATCTGATAAATCAACACAAACCATATGCAGCGGATAAATCATTTGATTAGCAATTCTAAAGGGAGTTGCTCAATTGCAATTTGCAGGAACAGTGTTCCACTGAGAAAGTTGAGGCTAATCAATAGCAATTTGCTTGTCTTTTTTCTTACATGATAACTCCAAAAACTTGAAAAAAAAAAAAACGTTTTCCCCCCTTTTCAGAGTCCCGTTTTATTTTTCCTGTATGAATTACCCATGCAGCAGCCAAGCATTTTGTATTTGGCATCGACATGCACGTCTATCTCATGTTTCTTGACAGCAACAAGTTGCAAGGACAAAGCACAATACATATCTGAGATATTGGTATCCATCTAAGTTCAAAAGGGAACCGTGATCTTTAAGATTATGGATTACAGCAGGTTGAATGTATCAGTACTGTTTTCCATTGGTTTGTCGTTAGAATTTACACTAATTATCCCAAAAGATCCTTGAGGCTCGTTGATTCTGAAAGCCCCCAAGATGATTCACAGGGTATCTCAACTTGTACACAGTCTCCTTGGACTCTTTAACCCTAAACACTGGCTTTCAGCAGGGAGACAGTATTTCAAAACATGGTGTGATGATGAGACATTAGTGAAAGGAAGCAATAAAATTTCATGCAAGGAAAAAAAAACAAGGTTAGGTAAACTACGAATTTAGTCATCTAACTATTCGCACGGTTCTATTTGACCACTCAACTATTTTTTTCTTCTTCAAAATCATGCCTAAAGTTACATTTTGGTCACCTGTTGTTAAAAAATTAACTATGATGCTGACATGTCACCATAAGGTAATGCCACCTCATCATTGAAAAAAGAAATGAAAAAATTGTCACATCAATAATTTTGTTTAGTTTTTAACCGTGGGTGACCAAAGCTGAACCAAAATATAACTTTAGGTATGATTTTGAAAAAAAAATTGGGTGATCAAAACAGAACCGCGTGAATAGTTGAGTGACTAAATACTTAGTTTAGCCGAGGTTTGTTTTATTCCATGATTAAGATCTATAATCATTTTCTTATTCGATTTAATTATTGGTTCGACAATTTATATGTGCCGGATTTGTATTTGAATATGATTATTATATTCAACAACAACAACAACAAAACCCTATTCCCATATGCAATGGGGTAAGGGGGAGATAGGGTAGTAGGCTGCTCCCAACACCAGGTTGAGAGTAACTTCCGTAGGAGACCTTCGGCAGTCAGAAAATTAAAAATAAATATAAAACACAATGCATGTATAAATAAATAAATACATAGTTGAACAGTCTTTTTATGCAGTCTTCAGATGCGCGTCTGTAATGGGAAGTAGTCCTTGCAAATAAATCTCTGCATATAGACAGAAACGCAAGACCTGAATAAATTTTAAAAGAGGAAACATGAAGAGAAAGATACACAGAAGTCAGCGATAGCAAGCTACGAGAAGAAATAAAGTCAAATGAGTTAAAACCTAAACTAAGGCAACACTACTCCGCTACCCTAGTTCTAAGCCTTCATAAATTCCAATGTCAGAAACATATAAAAAGTAGAAGTCATGGAAATTATTACAAAGGCATTAAAAAGAAGACATAGATGCTACACCCTATGGCTGTGACCCACACTACTCGGCTACCCTGGTCTTAAGTCTCCATACTTTCCTATCAGAGGTCATGTCCTCGGTAAGGGCTAAATTCTTCAAATCAGATCTCAAGCAGTCTACCCACTTCCTCCTTGGTCGTCCTCTCCTTCTGGCACCGTCGACTGTAATCGACTCTACCCTCCTGACCGCTTCCGACAGTTGTCGCCTAAGGACATGCCCAAACCACCGTAGTCTTCCCTCCCTCAATTTTTTGGATACAGACACCACCCCCAAGAACATCCTAATTGCAGAGTTTGGTGGTATGTCCCACAGAGTCCTACCACTTGCCCATCGAAATATTCTCATTTATGCGGCCTCTATCCTCCTTACGTGATCCTTTTTGATTGTCCAACATTCTGATCCATACAACAGCGCTGGTCTTATTGTCATTCTATAAAATTTTCCCTTAAGTTTTAGAGGTACTTTCTTATTGCACAAAACTCCAGTATCAGCCCTCCACTTTAGTCATCCCGCCTTTATACGGTGTGTAACGTCATCATCTACACCCTCATCTTTATGTATCATAGACCCTAGGTACATGAAACAATCCTTTGAGGGGAGAACGTGTCATTCTATGTATACTTCTACATCTTCATCGTTTTGGCTCCCACTGAAGTTTGATAATAATGATATCAAACTCAGCTACTGGTCTAATAAGATTTGTTGCTTGGTGTATGAGCTAAGCACTGAATTCCACTTTAAAAAACATATCTTCGAGATCTTAGCTTCTATGGCCTGATCTCATCATGCACATTTATCAGTTATTTATTCTCCATGCACAGTTTATGTTTGTTTTCTTAATTCATATTTTAATTATTTTCTATATACTGTATTTATATAATCATATCGAGTTCAAAGTTATTATATTTCATGTTACGAGAGCCAGAGTGAATGCTTAATAATATAATCTGGTTGAGATATACACAAAATCATCGGACTCGGATTGCATTATGCCAGGGCGTTGGTATTTGTATCTTCCACTCCATCTGCAGAAATGAAGGATTACTCTTTCCGAGGAAGATAACATAAATAATTATCCTTTATCGTTTTTCATAGTTTCAACACTTTGACTGAAATGGAAATTAAGGCAAAAGTAAACACTAATGTTTAAAGTGGTAAGGGCCCCAGCAGATTCCAGCTTTGATTGATGTCATTTATATGTGTTATTGTATATAAATATAGCAGCAGTTTTGATCAGTTCTTAGTCGATAACTCAGATAAAATCTTTCCTTATCTACTGAGTTAGAGCAAAATATGAGTGACCAACTTTCAAATGGGCCTTTGAATGCAAATTTCAGCAAGGCAAAGCCTTATATTCTTATGATATTCTTGCAATTCGGTTCGGCCGGGATGTACATAATCAGCATGGTAACCCTCAACCAGGGCATGAACCGTTACGTTCTCGTTGTGTATCGTAATGCCATTGCTGCACTCGTACTTGCACCTTTCGCACTGGTGCTTGAGAGGTGATCACAATCATCTTATATGCTATACACATTCATGCATAGAGTGTCGGATACGAATATGCGTGCATGAGCAAAAATAAGACTGATCTCTATGCATATTCTCCTCTTTCTTACGGGAAAACAAGGTCAAAGATGACGTTCTCAATCTTCCTACAAATAATGACCTTGGGATTTCTAGAGTAATCTTTCATACTTCAACAGTGAACACCATTTCATGGAAATTCCAATCATAATATATTGTGGCAAAGTCATACAGTAACAGTTCTTTTGTGTGTTTGGTTTGTGGAAATTGTTGTGGACAGGCCAATCCTTGATCAAGGCTTCGTTTACTTGGGAATAAAATATACATCAGCATCATTTACATCTGCAATTATGAATGCTGTCCCTTCAGTCACCTTTGTGATTGCACTCATTTTCCGGTAAATTTTCAAGCTCCCATCAATGCAGACTCCAAATTTGTCTTCTCTATGGTTGCGTAGTTTCCAACCATTGAAATTCATTCATATACTGTTTGATCAGATTGGAGCATGTGAAGATGAAGGAAGTACGCAGTATAGCGAAGGTGATTGGGACCCTGGTGACTCTATCAGGAGCTTTACTTATGACACTTTACAAAGGCCCTGTGATTGAACTAATCTGGTCAAGGAACACAAGCCACCAGGGGAGTGGCGGAACCCACGAATCGGCTGATAAACACCGGATATCTGGGACACTACTGATCCTTGTTGGTTGTGTTGCCTGGTCCTGTTTCTATGTTCTGCAAGTAAGTTGTTGTCTTACGTGACATCCTGTAATGGAAGGAACTGTAGGCTTTTCAGGCCTGCAAATGTATAAATAGAATCAGAGGTAATTAGTGAAATGTTGTAGTTGAAATGGTGCAGTCAATTACCATAAAGAAATACACGGCGGAGATATCTCTTTCCTCATTGATATGCTTGGCGGGTGCTATACAGAGTTTGGCAATTGCCTTGGCGGTAGAACATCACCCTAGTGGATGGGCTATGGGCTGGAACTCGAGGCTTTTTGCTCCTTTGTACTCTGTAAGTATCAACTATCCATGTTCCTACCACTACACATTTATTTTTAAGTATTTATATCCCATATTTATATTGGGTGTAATTTCAGAAATAAGTAAATTGTTTATATAAAATTTGAGTCCATATTTGAGGCCAGGCTGGATTTGGATAAATATGAAATGTTTTAATCTCGTATGTAAACCCAATCTGACTTGACTTAAGAACCATCTCTAATGCCAAGTATATTGGAGTATTTATTGAAATTTGTGAGGGTTTGGATAAAATTGTTAGATCCAAAAATGGGTTTTGACAATAAATTAAGCCTAGGTCAGACTTGAACTCTAACATTCAAGATCCGATCTCGGCTCAATTTGCTTTCTAAGTTTCTAATATATTTTATTATGTATGATATTATAAAATTTATTTTATAATAGTATAGAATATTATAATGTAAATATTAAGTTACCCATGTTTAAAAGAGTAAAAATAAATTTTATAAAAGAAAATATATATAACCATTTAATATTTAATTGAAAAATAGAATAAATATTTTTCTAAGAATAGAAAATATAAAGGGGTCGAAAACGAATTTAGTTAGCAATTTACAAAGATGGGGTGAGATTGGATAAAACTTTAGTTCATATTTTGGAGGAAAGCAAATCCAAACAAGTATAAAATGTGTATCCTTTCCATTCCATGAACACCTCTAGCATTGCGCAAACACATACAAGTATTTCATTACTGTTAATCAAATTATGAGGCTAGCTAACTACTTGGCTAAACTTAAACAACACATTTGTTTGTTATAATTGCTAATCACCGCCGACCTGGTTTCAATAAAGGGTATAGTTAGCTCCGGGATTACATATTATGTGCAAGGTCTGGTCATGAAAACAATGTTGCGAACGACGGCTATCGGATAGAGTAAAATTGCAACTGATAATTTGAGAAAATAAAATGGAAGATAAAAGAGACACAAAATTTACGTGGAAAACCCCTAAATAATATAGGGTAAAAACCACGGCCAACGGTAGAAGAATTTCACTATGAGAAAATAGGAATTACAACTTCTCTCGATTTACCAAGGAGAAAACAATGATAATAATCTCTTGATAAAAAGGAGAAAACAACTCTCAATAAACTTTCTAAATTCTCTAGTATTGGAAGAAAGCTAGAATGCTTTGGGATGGTTTTGAAGCTAAACGAGTTAGGGTATTTAGAGTTGAAGCTTAAGGACTAATTTGTAAATACCCTAAATTACAATGACTAAAAAAATGAGATTTTACCATTACCCAAATTTAATAAAAAAAATAGCAACTTTCGGTGCCCTTTTTTAATTAATTCGGTGCAACAATTTCAATAATTGTTGCTTGACTTTTCTACAATCTTCCACTTGAAGATTTGATTGGAACAATCATATCTTCACACCATTCTTTCTACCTTGTACCATTCATGTTGTTTATGTCTTTGACGGGCCACAAGAGGATTGACACCAGATAAATTTATCAGCGTTGATCGTGTTGAGTTAATCGATTGACGGATTTGGCCAAGAGGGGGGTGAATTGGCAATTAAAAATTTGGTGGAAGCTTTTGCAGAAAATTGAAAGTAATTGCACAACGATTAAGAGTGGTTCGACTTTCTCAATCAAAGTCTACGTCCACTACCTTAGCTATCCACACTAAGGATTTTCCAACAAATTCACTAATTTGTTCTTTCTTTTGAGGCCAAAGAGATAACCTTACAACACTCTCAAGAATATACCCCAATTCTTGAGAACACTCTTCCCAAAGAGAAGATTACAAATTTACAAACTTACAAGAAAAACCTCACAAGGTAAGATGTTTGCATAATTCTAGAACAAGAAAAGAACACTCAAAGATAATTACAAATGAGCACAAATGGTGTTCTTGAAAGCAAAATGAATATTGAAAGGAAAATTGGCTTGATTTGCACAAACTTGATGTTTGATGCTTTCTCTCTTGTTTCTCTATGATTTCTTGTTGATCAAGGGCTTCAGAACTTGTTTAAATACACCTTGAATCACTTCTGAACGTTGGGGATAATTAATGAAGATAATATAGCCGTTTAAGTGTGAAAACATTTAATAAAAATGCTTGGAGCGTGGGGGGAATCGGTTCCCCCTCATAGGGAATCGGTTCCCTAAGTGTAAAATTCAAATATTTCGACCGTTGAACAGAGGGGGAATCGGTACCCCCTATAGGGGAATCGGTTCCCTTCGAGCATTATGGAAATCTCGGAGCCAAACCATTCAGGGGGGAATCGGTACCCCCTTGGGGGGGGGATCGGTTCCCTATGAGCAATCTGGAATTTTTGACTTTGAAATGGTTCGAAATACTTTGAAAGATTATTTTGAAATTGTTTTAAGATTAAAACTTAATTTTACACTTAAGTAAGGATTAAAAATGATTTTAGAAATATTTGGAGTAATGTTTTGATATTCGAATAATTATATCGAATTTACTTAGAAAATCATTTTGGAAAATCTTAAAATTCATTTTACTTAATTTGTTATATCGAAATATCAAAATGTTTTCAACAATCTCCCCCTTTTTGATATAACAAAGCATTTTAGTAATTTTAAGATTTTGAAATCAAGTTTTGAAATTACTCCCCCTTACTTTAACACTTCTCCCATTTATCATTTTAAAACACACTTAAAACACACACTTCTCCCCCTTTTTGTTAATTCAAAAAGATTCAAAGAGACGTGAAAAACATTTAGCCAATTGATTAGGTATATGTATGCATAAGCTGCTAAGATCACAATCAAGAGAAACGTTAGCCATTAGTTCCATAATCAATATTCATAAACAATGTGATATGGTAAAATTGGTCATATTGCTAATAATGATGTAAATGATGCAATAATGAATAAATCACACCAAACATATAAGTTCACACCATCCATAAATCCAAACAAATTCACAATCCACAAATTCAAACATTCCAAAATATTCAAAATGTTAAAACAATAAGTTTGGAGTTCAAAGTAAAACATTTAATCACATATCCGGATCAGGAGGAGGAAAACGAGCTCGCATAGCGGCCATTTCGTTAGTGAGGTCATTAATACGTGCGTTGGTTGCTTCATTATTTGCACGCATTTCCCGAAGAATTTATAATTGTTGAGCTCCCATTGTGGATAAATGAGACTCTATAGAATTAAAGCACGAATCCATGGTCGCATATCGGAAATCAAATGTCTCTATAAAAGATTAAAAATATGGAGGCATTTGAGTCGATTGTTGTCCGTGCTCCTCAGGTTGCTCAGGCTCATCTTCGGCTTCATCGATATCCCTCATTAATTGTTCAAACTCTGGATCTTCGTCAGCTTCGAGTGGAGCTTGTGAAGAACTAGCTCCCGGAGTAGTTGCAGAAGATCGAACCTATTCACCGGATTCTTTATTTTTGACCCATCCCGCTCTTGTTAAAGAAAGAAGATTGATTTGTTTCTTAAGAGGAAAAGAGGCATCTAGACCAACTCGAAGCTCGGCTTTAGAAAAGAGATTACTAAGGATACAACCGTAAACTAGTGAAGAACAAAGTTTCTTATTTGGCACTAGGTTAACGGTTTCAACAATCTCAGCAAAGATAATCTCAGAAAGGTTTATTTTTATATTGTGTTCAAAACAATGCAACCACCAAAGATCTAAAGCTCTGAGAGTAGAATAACGACCCCTGGATGGTCAAAACCACCAAGTGATCATAAGATGAAGAAAACGCTCATGAAGATCTAGAACACTTGCACTATCATTTCGTTTATATCGTGAGCCTAAAACTTGTTTTTCATTTGATAAACCTTCATTATCCAAGCCTAAGGCATTCGCTATGTAAGCCGGATCAAGATGGAAATATTGACCTAGGAGGTAGGAACGTACTCCTATGGTTTTGGTTTTGTCACGATTTTTGATACAAACAGCATTACAATAGAAGATACGAACAAGTTGATGATAGACAACGGGTTCAAGTTCGAAAAGTTTATCAAATTTCCATTCGTGCAAGATAGAGAGATATTTAAAGTTAATAGCAACCATAGCTTGAAGATATGGGATACGTTCTTCTCTAATCTTATACGAGTCAAAATATTGGTAAAACCAATAACGATAATCTTTAGGACCCGATTGATTGAAACAAGAATTTTGGATAGTCAAGTTAGGATCAAGATCTGGAATAGGATTTTGAGGAATAGGAGGAGGATTTGGAGGAGGATTTGGTTGACGACTAGAACGACTAGATGAAGACCTAGCACGTTTAGGATTAGACATGGTGAAGGAAATCGGAATAGATTGGATAACCTGCAATTTTAAAAACAAATGTATGCAATTCAATTAATCCCAAAACTCAATTGAGTCCTCAATATTTCAAGGTTCTCTAAATCAATCCTAATGGGCAAAGTTTTTGAAAAACTTTTGAAAAATATGGTTTTGAGAAACAATATATGTATAGTTTTCATAACAACAACATAATTTAATCAAAACACAATAATTTGAAAAACAACAATTTTTTTTAATTTCGAAAATTTAAAATTTTTGGAAAATTCTTGTGTTTTTGATGAAATTAGTTGTAACATCTAGTTTCTAATCACTAAATAATCAATGCCCGATCACTATTTCAACCTAGAACTAATTAAAACTAATCCTATGTTCAAAATCAATGAAATAGAGAGTTTAGAAAAATTTACCTTGAAAGATGAAGATTGAGGGGATTTAGATGTTGTTTGTACGATTTTAATGATTCCAACAGGTTTAGAGGATGATATTTGATTCGAATTTCGATTAATATCGTTGATTTCAGGTAAGAATGGAGATAGGAAAGAGTTGAGAGGGAACAACGGCAAGAAAAAAATAAGAGGATTTTTGGGGTATTCTGCTCGATTTTAACAGAACCCCAGGGGGGTATCGATTCCCCTGTGAGGGGAATCGGTTCCCATTCAAAGGGGGAATCGGTTCCCTCATGGGGGGGATCGATTCCCTCTGCACCAAAATGCTAAAATCCGACTTTTAAGCACACAAAATGCTAAATTAATCTTCTCTAGTGGTATAGGCAACTCATATATTGAAAAATAATTATGTTCAAATAATTAAATTAATCTTTAATCAATATTTGAACATAAAGTTAATTTTTCATCAAGAATCATAAACTCCCCCTAACTAATAGCAATGAATGCAATCAAAAATTACTATCATGAGCATTTTTCAGTATTTATTAAAAGTGCTGAATTATTTTAAACACTAAGTGAAGATAGGTCAGTTAAACCTAATTCTCTCCTAAGTGTTCAAAACCTTTCCTTATCTAAGGGTTTTGTAAAAATATCCGCTAATTGATGCAAAGTATCAACAAATTCTAGAACTACATATTCCTTAGTGACATGGTCTCTAATGAAGTGTTGTCTAATTCAATGTGTTTAGTTCTAGAGTGTTGGATGGGATTTTTAGTGAAACAAATAACACTAGTATTGTCACACTTGATAGGAATAGTACTTACTTCAATTCCATAATCAAAAAGTTGTTGTTTCATCCATAAAACTTGTGCACAACAACTACCGGCTGAAATATATTCCGCTTCAGTGGTAGATAATGCAATACAATTTTGTTTCTTTGAAAACCAAGAAATCAGCATATTTCCAAGGAATTGGCAAGTACCGGAGGTGCTTTTCCTATCTAATTTACATCCTCCATAATCCGCATCAGAAAAAGCATGCAAGCTAAAGCTAGAGTCTCTAGGATACCAAAGTCCTAAACTAGGAGTGTCCTTAAGGTATCTAAAGATTCTCTTAACAGCTAGTAAATGTGATTCCTTAGGACATGATTGAAATCTAGCACATAAGCAAACACTAAACATAATGTCCGGTCTACTTGCAGTTAGATAAAGCAAAGAGCCAATCATTGACCTATATAATTT